ACCAGAATTTTTTGTTGGCCTAATCTGACAAGAATTCATACATGTAAAGAAGTCCATGATACCGTAATCCATATAAACTTGTTAAGCCTCAATAGTAGACTGCAAATTGTTTTAGGTCAAGAATCGATTGCGTGATATGCAACAAAAACACAGTACAGGAGTTCCATACTTAATGCACTATGTACATGTACTGACACATGTACATGGGCAACAGTTATACTGGCAGCTAATTAGTAGTATACAAATATCAAGGTTGAGTACGCATGACCATTTTCTCTTTATTTTTCACCATTTCCCCATTGCTCAACTTCAAAGCAGCTCTGGTCAAAGCTCAATTGTGTTCGTAAAGAGCAAGTGCTAACAAGTACAAAGCCTTTAAATGCATAAGGGTCGACAGGTACTGTACATGTATACATGTAATCTAGCAGGCTCAATAACTACCAGTAGAGTGTGGAGACTGGCTCATGGAGGCCACCAGATGGCAGCAGAGTGAATGGATGAATGCATCGTGTACATCAGAGCCTACAAATTGGTATAAAGTGACCAGATGGTGGCGCTGTTACTCCCTCACTGGGAAGTCTAGGTTTATCAAACAACAAGATGGTTGTGACAGTTCTCTTGGGGAACTACCGTAGTCATCAGGATACAGAGCTGCTAACACTAGAAAACACCAATCAGGGAGATACATGTATTTGGACTATGTGAGTCAGGGAAAATTTTGCATTCCAGACAAACATGGTGTTGTCCCTCACTGGTTTCATTTATGTGTAGCTGAACAAGTCAGGTGGGATGGAAACTCTGTCTACCAAAACCAAACTCAAATGTCTTGTCCCCTGAGGTTCTGTTATTACTACTCACACAACTACCGATCAAATACTCAGTCAGTACTCAAATAAACTACAGTGTCACATTTTTGCTGACAATGTTCAGTTATGCTTGACCTTTAAACCCAAACAGCTGGTAAATGCATTCTGCGCTCTTCACCGACGTCCTCGGAGTGTTCAAAATGTTAATTCTCTAATAAACTCCTGATGAACACAGACATGACAGAGTTTTTATTGCCTCTTCCCCTTCTCCAACATTTCATATTTCATCTCGATAAAACAAAAATACTTCCTTTCCCCTGGTAAGAAACTTAAGTGTTGTTTTCGACCAGGACATGAGTATGTCTGGTCATATCACTTCACTTTGTCACTTGCCTAGACTGGCATATCTACATGTACAATCTTAGTCAAATTAAATTTCTAAGCTTCCAAGCATGTCGCAATGCAGCGTGTGCTCTCATTAACACCAATCCAGGCTGGACTGTTGCAATTGCCAACTCAATGGCATTTCTAAGAATGAAATATCTGGCCTTCAAGAACTTCAAACTGGATGTACCAGGTTAATTGTCCAGAAATCCACACATACATATACATGAACACACACATATAATTCCCCTGTACTTGAAGAACTTCACTGATTTCTAGCCCATCAAGTCAATCAACATATTGAGTTCCGTACATTAGTCCACACCTTCAAATCACTTACAAACTCTGCACCAGACTACACATATCTCTCTTCTCTTCCAAGTAGCCTGATATATTTTAATTTCCTTCGTTACTTTGACTCTCACTCTTGTCATCCCTAAGTCTCAAAAGAAGGCTGGGGACAGACTGTTTCTGTAGCTGCCCCTCGCCTAAGGAACAATTTACCCCCATCACATTAGGAACTCAGACAGTGTATCATCATTCAACTCTGCTCTCAAGAACCATGACTTCCACAGATCACAATAAATTGTCTCTCTATTGTTCTCTTTATTTTGGAAGCCCCTTCATCCTCTGGTAATTTGGCGCTATATAAATTCAATTATATTATTTTATTTAAGATTTTCTATGGAGTAATCCGCAGCATTTTCTAGCTTTTACATTCCTTGTCCTTATTGAGAAGCACCTCACCCTTTCTGAAAAACACCAACATAAATAAGTGTGTAAAACCTAGTGGTTCTACCTGGGGTTTTCAAACCTGCAGGGAAAGAAACAACTTGCAAGGCCACAACACACTTTGACTTTAAAAGCTCTCCGGTGCATTTATGAGCAAATCTGGAGCCCGGCCTTCATTGTGGTGGTCTTCACTTGGTACAGTTTTGGCCATTTCTATTATACCAGTACATAAGTGTGCGTGTGCACATGTACAAGAATCACATTAAATATCGTTCATATGGTATTTGTCTTACAATACAATTGGTGAGACTTACATGTAACGGGTAGCAGGCTATTCACTGGTAAAGGTTTTCAACCCTCAAAAGGGCATAATACTGCAGCTTACCAGTTGTGCAGACTTGATTCCAGACCCAAAATAGTGGTACATGCTAGATTCATTATCTCCTCAACATACCAGTAACGGTACATGAATATTACTATCAACATTCCAAATATGCATACATGTAGTCTGGTGTTCCCCATGTTTAGAAGAGTATGTACACATACATGTACGTGACTAGTAAGGAGTCTTGGTCTCTACTAGGAAGTTTGACAGTGTGGAATCCATGTTTTGTGTCCACTAGCACAAAATTTGCGGTACACTGCCAATGACCGAACAAAGTTACAAAACTGTACTTGTAAATTTTATCAGCGGATGTGACTGGCCAGTTTGGCCACCAAAAAAAAAAACTTGTAAAAACCTGAGATTCTGAGATTTAAAAAATTTCATGATGTTGTACACAGCAGGTTTACAAAAAAGCTGAAATTCTAAAATTCCATGATGTTGTACAGAGCAGGTGTACAAAAAAGCTGAAATTCAGGGTTCAAATATCCAGGGGAAAAAAAGCTGGGATCATCTGGAAAGCTGAATTCTCACGACCGTTTTAGGCACACGATTTTGAGTTTAAAAAAGTGGCATAAATCACATTAGAGTATTTTTATGCTACATGTAAATTTAACTTTCAGACAGACCATTTAGAAATACATATACATGTAATTAAACATCTACATAAAAATGGATAATCTGTGTAAATTTTAAGATGGGTTAGGAAGTCGGAAGATTGACTGATTTGCCAGGAGTCTTCTTCCTTCAAATCTGGGTGAGTTGGCAGCTCTGCAGGAAACTACAGATGATTGAAGATTTTGGGAAGGTCCTGATTTCCTCATTGATTGTGGATTTCTTTCTTGATCAGTCTCCAAATTCCCTCACTTTATATAGCGTTGAACATCATACACATGAGGTAATTAATTATTTCCTCCGCCTAAAACTTGGTTTTGTCAATATGTTGTGCCTGCCTAAACAAAATAAATAAATGTACCGTAACTTTCGGATTGTAAGCCGTAGCATATACGTTGATTCTCATGCTGAAAAATGTCTCTGCGGCTTATATGCTGGGCAGCTTATATGGCAAACTTTGAAGGATAAAATCAGTCACAAAAGCCGCAGCCGCACTATGAATACCACACACAGGTGGCACAGTCATATTTTTGTTTTATATCTGAAATCTCGAACCTCGGAGAATAAATAAAAATCCGAGTTGTCCGGATTTCGAGTTGTTAACGGAATTCCCCGAGTCATGGAGTCACAAACATACATGAAACATGCACATAATCTTAAACTTTACTTGCTTTGTGGCAAGATTATCCAGTGATTATTTTCCTGCTTTTTATTCAATCTTGTGGTGTATGTTTTGCAGACGAATGTGACCCACCCTCCCAAACCAGGTTTAAGTCGGTAACATCATAACCCTCAGATAGTGGAACCTCCACTGTTTAGATTTTCATGGGAGTTTTACAGCTATTACTACCCGTAAGAAGCTTACTGCAGACAGAATTTGGATTTAACATGGATCACCTTAAATTGTTAAAAAAAAGAGCTGAAGGAGAGGAATTTGTCCGAAAGCACAAATACTGACTTCAGCCTGGTTTTGGGAAGGTGAGTCACATATAATCATTTTACTAAGATCATTTTATTGTTATTACCTAAAAATTTCTTTCTACTGTTAAATAAAAATCAACCGCTTCAATGGTGCATCTTTGTGTGGCAGATCTTTCGTCTTTTCGCCAACCGTGTTCAGCATGACACGCCACTGAACATCTTTTTTTTCACATGGGTCATACAACACTTTCTGTGGTCACATGGTAATTGGAAAGAGTCCATGAATGGGTCAGCGGTAGCGGTAGCAGTCAGGCTAGCCTAAAAAACAGGGTATGCACGACTGCAGTGGTGCATGAGGTGCGTGAGTTTGTTTGTGCATTCAATTGGGGACCCTGAACAATAGCGNAACATATGGGTGGTCTTCTAAAAAAGTTGGCGTACATACAAAAGAGTAACAATAGGAGGTCCCCAGTTGCAGGCAAATACACACTTACGTGTGTGTGCAATGCAGCATACGTTCAACACAAAAGGTTCCTGTGTAATGACTCAAACTAAGGTCTCGCGGCAGATGTTTCATTTTTGAAGCGATTTGGCAGCGTTTTTTTTTATCGGTGTCACAAAAACCTCAAGATAACTGGATGTAGTGCTGTGGACAGTTACAGAGGTATTTTTAATAAAAGTCTATTCTTTTGGCAAGAAATAGTCAACATGAAATGATCCCTCAACCTAACTAACTTTGAGTTACCAAGTTATTGTATATGTATGTCCCCGACCGTTTAACTTTCTCTGGCTGCTGAAAAAAAGGCTAGAGCTGATATACATGTACGGCCCATGCAGGACCACCTTCCAGCCCGCAAAAAAATGTCAAATTGGAGTACTTCAATTCACTTTCTATGGTGACACTCATTTGCATTTTGCTTTATATTTTTGTTATGATTGCACATGTAGTGGAACCATTGGCGTACTGTACATACTGTATTGGTGTTTCAGCATGCAGTACGTTGACCTTTGTGGTTGGATCATCAGCGCTGCAGTGCACCTTATACGCCGACTTTAAATTTGCAGATTTTTGCCTGTTGCGGCTTATACACCAGGCGGCTTATATTCCGAAAATTACGGTAACTTTGTTCTTACACACAAGTAACACCAAAGAAACTCACCTTGATGGGGGCCTTACTGAATTTGAGTTTTCTTGTCCTCTTGTTGGAGACATCCTCTTCATCGGTGTCGGACAGTGCAGAGAGCTCGGCAACATGTGTCTGCGATGAGATAACAGAGAATTACACATAATTACCGAGTATTTGGTTCAGGAGATCCACAGAAATCCACCAAACATACAGCACAGGGGTTATAGCAGTGCCAACAATAAAATGGTCTGTTTTTTCAGGCTTTTTATTAAATCTAACAGGGAGTTTTCTCTCAAATAGCTATGATTTTGTTAATCTGGCAATTTACAGTCGTAAAAAGTGCAATTTTAGAATGTGGCATACATGCAGCCGAATAACAAGACAGGAAATCTAGACTAGGCCACTAATCTTGATATCTTGTAGACTCCTGAAAAACCACATCCTGTTGGTTAGACAATGACTCAAGAATGTCTGCTCAGGTGTTGGGATCCAAGTTCTTCTGAAGATTAGCCTGTTTGGGCACTAAGTAAGTAGGATTATTTAGTTTTTCACAACAGTAAACAATTACCTGTAGTACATGTACAAGAAAGGACCAAACTGAAATTCATTTTGCAATGTACACATATTTGCCTTTTCTGTAGTCCTCATGTATTTTAGGTTAATGAGCATGTGTAAAAATTGGATTCTTACTGTCTAACCTGCAGACAACACAACACAAATCTGCATGCTCTGTCAAGTTTATACCGGTAGAACCAATGACAAGCGCCCTCTATAGTTGCTACACAACCAGTTCAGTTCTTGTTGAGCCACAGTATTCCATGGCACAAGTTGTATTAACACAACATGATTCAAAGAAACACAAAGAGAAGAACACACATTTGGGCCACAAGTTAAACTGACTTAGAGCGTAAACAGAACATCCAAAAGGATGCAGTTTCCAGGGTGATACAAAAATCTAACGTCCCTCCCTAAGGACAATGTTAGATGGGAAAGAAAACACTGGTTTATAACCTCGGACAGGAAACACAGACATACTGTAGGTCCTACATGCATGTACATGTAGCAATCAGGATGGTGACACACATTGTTTTTTCAACTCCAACACCTGCAGACCTAGAGTTTGCAGGTTATCCCATACTGGTACATAAATGTACATATACCGTTACATCGGTACAGCGTTGCAACATTTGGCATTCTGCATGAAATTATTTGTAGTTACTGAAGATCACAGTGAGCGGTACATGTACATGTTAATGCCCTTTCTCCACTTCATCTGGACAACACTTTGATCAGCAACATGAATTCTGTACATGTGGATACAAACATGTACATTGCACAAGTATCCCTATGTGTCTTTTCTTTCCTCCATGGGATGTACATGTGCGTGGATCAGTACCAGTACATGAATGTTGCCACAGAAAGAAGTGCCTAGTGAACAACTATAGGCCAAGTACTTGTACTTTTTGTGGACAACAACAGAAAAAACTCCTCTACATTTGTGCTGTATTGGAAATCATATCTTTCAAACTTCGATCCTTTCGTTTTTGGTGGTCTTCTCAAAACTGATTCCGAGTTCTTCCCAAACAAAACAAAATGACTTAATGAAGCGCTATACATTTGTGTGTGAGCTTATTAGCATAGCAGGGTTCCTATTGAACTGTACATGTACCTGTACATGTAGTTGTTTATATACATAATTTGTTTATCTTCACACGTGTATATACATGTAGCAATACGTATAACAAGCAAGGCACTTGCAATAGCATGAAAGTGATACCAGTGATGTTTGAAATACTGTGAGCGGTCAATGCAATGATAACACTACTGCACTTCACAGTCAGTCAAGCGAAATTAGAAATCAAAACTCTCATCTAACATAATATTTTTATTGGAATGACTCAAGCCGACAATTGAGCAGTTTTCCAAAACAATAAGCTCACTGCAACGTACATGATGTTGGGTTATACTGCAAATGAAGCAGGGTATCATTTCCTTCCCTGGAAAATGTAGCATGTACAGGTTGATCATGTGTAACATGTTTTTCCCAAGGCCTTCCATACCAGCAAATACTGACACGTATACATGTCATTGTATGTTTGGCCAAACAAACAGCATTAGAGAAACAAAACAATGTACAATAATTTGCCTCTTCTTTTATGATGTCATGCTCATATCAATCTCAACACAAATGCTTTCACCTCTTTTTTTTAAATGAAGTATACATGTACAAACATACTTGTAAAAGTATACTTGCAGCAATTTCACTTCCTCATAACTTTTAGCATGGAGTTTTCCAAGAAGGGAAATGAATAGACTGTATTCAGTGATTGTGGCATGAATAATTCAGGGTCGGCTTTATGACACAATTCCCACTGGGTTTGTCTAGACAGAGGTCATTACTGAAAAAGTGCTGTCTGTGACACATTTCTGGGCTGCAGTTTTGTTCTGAGATCCACACAGAATACACCCCTTCCTGCACGTGATGATAGGTCGTCAAGGGACTTATCACACAATCCCCTTTTTTCAATCTGGATCCCAATATTCAGGCAATGGAACTCACAGCAATAACCTGGTAATAATGACAGTGTTGGTCACGGCTGACTGGAGGTCGGGTGGTTGTATGGTGAGAGATGTACAATGTAAAGTTGATCATGAGTATGGTTGTGGGTATGAAGGTGGTTAGTGCCGATGGTGGTGAGGAGGTCACAGTGGTGATGAGGATCCTGCTGCTACTGAGAATACTACACCACACGTTCTAACCAAAAAACCTCAGAACCTTACACCTACTGGTATTAAAAATGATGTAAGTTTCAGGGTGCCACAACAACTTCCTCTGAACTGTGCGTGTACTTTCAGCGGCTTGGTTGCTATGGTCACTCAGTGGCCACACAGAGATTTGTACAGTTGTGCCCAGGAGCCTGCAACATGTACATGTGCCTGGTACATGCCCATGTATCTGAACATGTGTGCTTCAAGTTGGTGCCTTGTGGAGACACAGAAGAGTGGGCTGAAAAGGTCTCCTAGAAGCAGTTAAGATGAACAAGTCACCACAAGCATAAATGTGGATATCTGGAAATTACTCAGAAAGGACCCTTTTAATGTGTAATATTCTGCAGCAAATTGAAGGGTTTCAGATGAGGGACACTGAGTGGAAATTTTAACCCGGGAAAGTACAGTTTCTGTTCACATGGGAGCATTTTGAAAACACCCAAATATTTTAGTACCGTACAAGAGAACCCAGCAATGTCTCAACAAGGATTCAAATTTTGATGCGGGTGGAATGAAAGGTGTTTTTCCCAAACTTAGCTCAAACTGTTTGCATTTCCCCACCGCGGTACTTCAGAAAAGATCAGTTCAAGTGTGGAGAATGTACATGTAGTGGTATAGTACAGGGTCCATTTAATATTTAAAGGCTCCAATGTTCACAAACACAAACGCATACCTTAGGTGTCTCTATGTACACTTTGTACATGTATTTCAATGAACTGGACACATGTAAACTCTACAGCATTGTTCCCAAACCAAGAGCTGCATGTTCCATTGTACCGTATGCTGGTGAGGGGGTCACTGTACTTATTCTGTACATAAAACCTAGTAAGCCCTTACCATCCACTGACAGCCAGTCAATAAGGCTGTCAATCAACCATCTCAATGACAGGTGCTTAGTGTCTGGGTTCCTAAGGACACTGAGGTCAAGTGAGGTCCTGTTGTGATGTTACTGTACTATATATACTTGTAACATGTCTTTAACTAGAGATTTTGGACATGTACATGTACAGTACATGTACATGTACACTAAGAAGTTCTATGCCTAGTATGGCTATTTAAAAGAAATGGCATAATATCTCGGCTGTTCTTAACAAAGGCTGGCTTCTGTCTGTTATTTGAAACTGGTTACTGTAAATCAATATGACTTTTCAAGGTTGACAAACTCCCTGGAAATTTGTGTTACATAAGGCTTTCCAGTAGTCAAGAAGGATGTTTCTAAAACAAAATTATGTACAAATGTACATATTTGTATGCAGGTATGGTATGTAACTACATGATACATGTAGGCTATCCTGCCCTAATAATAGTAAACACATTCATGAGAAATGCTCAAGGCAAGTACACATTATGTACACTGTACACACGTACATGTACCAGTATGCTTTTTGCACAGATCACCAGATCCTACATGTACATGTTCATGTACATTTTGTGATCTACTAAGCACCCGATTAGAATAGAAATTATGGGTTAAATTCATTCGAAGTACAGAGAATTTACATGAAGTTCAACATTCGATGGAGGTTATGTGTTAATGTGTCCTACGAGGGCAACAGTTTTGTACCACTTGGATAGACTCAAGTAGGCCTTAACCTTTTGTGCATTTGTTGTAACTAAATCAAAATAACAAAAAAACTCTGAGACTCCATGGAGACGCCAGCAAGGCATAACCTCTGTGTACATGTACATAAATCTACTTCATGTGCAATGTACGGGGAAATGAAGAATCTGAATGTGGTATCAACCTCTCAAATGAAGAGGTGCAAAGGCTTAAGAAGAAAAATGTAAACAAACATTGAGAGCCAATATATCAAACTACAGGAAATACTCAAGCGTGTGATGCGCTAGGTGCACAGAACACTGTAACTCACATTGCCATGAAGTCGTCATACTGACTAGACCTATCTTGACATGGTCACATGGTCTATGACTGATGGTTGGTGCATACAGTTCACATGTAAGTACATGTACATTGCAAATGAAAATTAACCTCAAGAGGGAAAATGTTCACACATTTCCCATCCGGGAATATGAATATTCATTTCATAAATTATGAAAAATCTTCCCCTCAGTGTTAAAAATTTTCACTTTTTGTCCTCTGTGAAAAAAGAACTCATCAACTTATTTTACAACGGGGAAAAATGTTCACACCTTTTTGTCACAAGTTGATACAATTTCACAGCTTTTTTTCACAAATGGGAAAAAGTTCACACGTTTTTCAGGAATATAAACAGAATTTTGTTCGCAATTATTCTCAGTCATTAACTGGGTTCAGTTTCAGTTGCAATGTACTGGACATCTGGAAATGCTACAATGTATGATTATCTATGTACATTGTCTTCCTTTGCTAGAACATACGTCAT